ATTTATCTGTGATATCACTCGATTTAGATGTTGAATAGGCGAACGATAGGCATTATTTTAGCAGTGAATAAATAACTACATTATTCGGTTAAGCGGTTATAATGTTCGTTTATCTATAATCTGAAATTTGTATTGATTGTATTCAAAACTAATGGTTCAAGGTCTTCGATACGATCATATGCGTTAAGATGTGAGTGACAATTATAGGAGAATTTCTAAAAATGACGGAGAAGCTGTCTGGTAATTCACAATTTTAATCACTTTCCGGTAAGACTTTTAAGCGACGCTAGACTGACCTTGAGAGTGTTCACCTAATAACTAGGACCAAATGAGGATTATGAACCTGTGTGAGAAATTAGAATTATGATTTATAATTGATGATTAAGGTTACAAACTAGATTCCAGGTTTTCATCACGAACTGACATCAGCTATAATGCCAACACTCTATTTATCCAAATGGATGAGTGAATTCCGCGCCGAAATTCGAGACCTGTTATCTTATACGTGAGTGGTTCGTCCATAAATTATAGTCTCGCCGTGAACGCTTGAATCGATTTCCTGAGGTGTTCTAATAACCCCAGGCTAACTCTACACGACAACTAGAACACGAGAGAAAAGGAGCAAAATACAGGAAGAACACTTTACTCCAAGTAGGTATCATTGTCAAGATTTGACTTGATAATTTCGAATAAATTGAGCATTGGGTAGATTGTTATAAATAAATAATATATTTATAATATCCCGATGAGTAAGAAATTAAATTTTCTGACGTTTCTTGACTTAGTGTAAGCCACTTCTTCAGAGAATAAATAACCAAATCAAAATTAATTCAAGTTTAATCCAAGGTTAGTTTATGTACAGAAAATTTAGGGTATTTATAGCATTTCAGACTGCCTTGGGTTTGTAGAGGGTTCTGGAGCCCTACTCAACATAGTAGCAGAATAGGTAATCACCCATTCAGAAATGTGATATTTGACCCCTCACTTTCTAGATGTTTCCGAGAAACCTCTATTGAATGCTAATTGGGTAGTGTTTCCCAACGTTTTCAGGACCTTTTTCTGGGTCTTCCCAACAATTAGTTTACTGATAACTAAGTAACTTAAACTTTGTATTAATGGATTACTAAGTAGTGGCCAATATCATACTTGTCTCTGATTGTCGATACTGTTTCTAATCAAGTTTTAAATATGACTACTAGTCTCAGTTAATCAGTATTTAACTTTCAACAGGTCTCCCTGTTTTTTAATTATTTTGTTAATGAAAATGAACTACTTCTACTGAGTTGTTACTATACAACACAGTGAAACAGGGTAGAATTCTTTCAAAATATTTAATTGTAAACATGATGGATTATTTGAAGTATTTAAACTCTTGGTTGAATAAATAATAGTGAACATATTGCTATGATCGAATCTCTCAGCTTCTATTGTTAATATAATATTTAAAATATTTCTTCATTTGGATGGAGTACTTGTGTGGAAATTATTCTTAATTTGTGGGTAGGATTCATCACGGAGTAATTTTAGTTGAAGTAGCGTTAAAACCAGGGAGGACAGAACAGCTGTTACAACTGGTTACCCGGTTCCTCAGACGTGTGCATCCATAACTTGGCCAGTAGTTGGAACGAGGATCTTCAAGACAATCCCTAGTAAATCGCACATCTAAAGCCAACTTATCTATGTAAAAGCACTCTAACAAAATTATTACAGTGACTTAATTTTTGCATACTTCATAATGAATTCTTAAGGTTCTAATAGAAAGTTGTGGCTGGTAAGATTCAGACGTTTTAGGAGGACGGACCAATATGAACCAGTGATATTGGATGATCTTGAGGACTAATTGAAGTCCTGATGGCTTATTGGTTAACGATTTGGTGTAAAACCGAAATTTTCTGTGATTGATTCCTAAAGTGGTCATTGTCGGGTATTTTTAGTAATTATGTCATGTGAACAAAAAATAGCCATTCAATTTCTTTGTTTTTTTGGTTTTCAATGGTATTCTATTTTAGGTTAATAAACAATAAATGTCATCTAGAAATCAACTTATTAGTACTAGTTTAGTACTTAAAGTATTTGTTACTAAAATATTGTTTCTTAGATATCTTTATTTCCTAACTCCACCTGGAGCCCCTCTGTGGCTACTGCCAGTCCCAAGCCTAGATAAAGGAGAGGATTGGGCATGAGGTTAGCGATTTCATCTCGTAGAAAACTGACTCGCTAAACAAAACGCTAACCAGAAAAAAATCTTTATTTCTTAAAAATATGATAAACTTTCTTATAAAATTCAGTAGTCTATTCAACAGTCTTTATTTAGTTATTCAGTTTGTTTATTGTATACAATAAAACAATGAAAATACATATAACACCATATGAACTCCCGATAGTTATTGTCGTTTGATATGAAAAAAAAAACGTGACACACGCACACACACACAAACATACCTAAACACAAATTGTGTAGCATCATATAGAGATGTACTTTAATCCCTTTTGTTTTAAATACAAAAATATTTTTTATTTTTGGTAGCAAATTTTACACTAAAAACACATACGATGAAAAATATTACACAATGTATTTTGAGTTGCTTGATAAGAATTTCAGGTTTTCTATGGTGATCTAGCTTCAATTGATTCATGAATTCAACTATGAAATATATTATATTATCCACGGAAACCCCTTCTAGGACTAATCAACATATGCTCACTAGTGACTTGATTGAAGAGGTATTTCCTAAAGTTGTAGTGAAAAGCAGTGATCAGTAGAGTTCAACCAGGTCTGCTGTGAGATAATAACTCATTGAAGACAATCTTGGATGTGTCGCTCAATTTCGGGGATTAGTTGAAGTTAGACATTAACACCGTTAGATACCAGGTCAGTGGTCTAGCAGTTAGGCGTTCGCGCGCGAGACTGATAAGTCCAGGGTTCGAGTGTCGCGAGGCCGGATCGTGGATATATATATACTATGGTGTACCTGAGAAAATAGTCCATATCATACGGAATTCATATGACGAACTATACTCAGTCAGTAACAACGTAGAACTTCGTACGTACGTACATCAGTTCGAGTTGTCATACCACATTAGCACAGAGATGCAGTTGTTGATTCAAATCCCATAGTGGTAGAGGTTGTAAGAGTATAAGCAGTAATCGGAAACATTAGGGTTTGAAGATGTTATTCAAGGAGTATAATTCAGTGAAATAAATTTGGAAAGAGGAAAAAAGGGACATGAAGAATTCAGAAGATTAGAATTTGGGAGAACACAAAGAGTGGATGCACCTGCGCCATTGCAAACAATTTTGAGCCATGTCATCCAAGGTCTCTAACCATCGATTGCTATCGTCTCGCGGATCCCAAGCAGGTAGTCTGCACCTACCAACATGGCTCAGTCCACTTGTCAGTCACTTCATGGATTTGTGCCATGTTTTGGTCTGGCCGCCCCTAGCTTTCTCTCAATCTACTCCTACACCATAAAAAATAGCACGTCGAGGCAGTCGGTGGTTGGGCATACATAACACATGTTGCATGGAGGACAGCTAACGGATGTAGTGCAAGTGAGAACCGAAGTCAGATAAGGCTGTCCACTCTCTCCCTTTATCTTTCTTCTCGTAGTTGGCTGGACTGTGAAGACCCCCACATCTGAGGGAAAGCACAGAATACAATGGACAGCTCAGAATCAATGAGAAGATTTGGACTTCGCAGATAACCTAGCTATTCTATCACATACACAAGAGCAAATGCAGATGACGACAACCAGTATAGCAGCGGCATCTCCAACAATAGGCCTCAACATACATAGGGGAAAAATCAATGTCCTCAAATACAACAAGGAGAACACCAACCCAGACACACTTGAGGGAGAAGCTCTGATAGGGCTGGAAGCTTTCACGTATCTGTGCAGCATTATCAATGATCAAGGAGGATCGGATGCAGACGTAAAGGCGAAGATTGGCAAAGAAAGGACAGCATTCCTACAGTTGAAGAACATATGGAACTCAAAACAACTGTCAACCAATATCAAAGTCACAATCTTCAATAGGACGTCAACATAATTCTACTGTACGAAGTTGAAATTTCGAGAATTACCATCACCATCATCAAAAAGGCACAGGTATTTATAAACAGTTTTCTACGTAAGATAATGAATGTCCGTTGACCAGATACTATCAGCACCAACCTACTATGGGAGAGAACAAACCAAATTTCATCTGAGAAGGAAATTAGAAAAAGACGATGGAAGTGGATAGGACACACATTGAGGAAATTAACAAACTGCTTCATGAGACAAGCGCTTATTTGGAATCCTGATAGGAAGCGGAAAAGAACAAGGCCAAAGAACACATTGCTCTGAAAATTAGAAGCAGATATGAAAAAGATGAATAACAACTGGAACCAACTGGAAAGAAGTGATCAAGACAGAGTTGGGTAAAGAAGGTTGGTGAGCAGCCTATGCTACTCCATGAGAGATTTTTTTATTTTTATTTTAACACATAGATATTGGTAAAAGGAGGCACCAAATAAATATACGCCACACAAATCTCATTTGATATGTGTGAAGGCTGTGATACTATCCGAGTGCGCAAAGCGAAGCAGGTGGTTTCCACACCCGGAGCCTTCGACCTGAAGGTCTGATCCACAAGGCAGTGAAGCGAAATCAGGAGATTAATAATTGGTTTATACGTCATTTGTTCCTTGAGGATATTGGGGCCCATGCGCACCATTGGTTTGGAATCAGAGTTTTCCAACTCCCCTAGGTGGACTCTCTGTATCCACCAACCCGTTTAAAGTGCCGGACATTAACGTTTCATTCTCTCAGTTTCGTAAACAACACCCCCGCCACGAGAAGGCAGTGAGTATGACTTCCCTGGCAGATACGCGTGGCCATGTGAGAGCATTTTTCAAGGGGAAGCGCACTCTCCCCACTCTCGACCGTACCAGGATATTTCGGGGCCCATGAGAGATAACAGGCATAAGTAATTTATGCATATACTAGAAGCTTACTTTTTCTGTTTCCAATCGATTGACTACACGTAGAGGTAATTCTGATAATTCTCCATCATCATGAAATAAATTCACTGTTACTAATGGTGTTTTATTTTTATTTGAATTCATTTTAGGATTAGATATAGTACGTTTCAATGAATGTTTTATTGTATATTTATCATTCATTATTATACTATCTATAGGAGATTGATTTGATGCATAAGATGTTTTAGGTGATGATGAATCATTAGTATAATTGCATGAACCTAATGATGATGATCTTGATAATGAATTTAATGTTGTTAAAGAGGAATAAGTGGATTCATCAGCAAAATGTACATGTTTTAAAGTATCCGATAATCTATCATAATTTAAATAATTTGTAATATCTATAAACTGATTATTATTATTATTATTATTATTATTATTATTATTATTATTATTATTATTAGAATGATTCTTATTCATGGTTTCATTGTCTAATTCATTCTCATAATTCATATTATTATTATTATTGTTATTATCATTATTATTATCTTGATCTTTATTATCCATCTCATTACTTGTTAAGGTTTGTTGTATCCATTTACCTAAATGACAATGTGTATCTTTATAGAATGGATGATATTTAAGTTTTTCAAATGGTGATATTAATTTCCATTTATTTCTTGTATTTAACATAATTGATGTACTTGGTAAATTGGAACATTTATAATCTGTTTGATTGAATTGTTGTTGTCGATATGATAATGATGATGATGATGATGATGATGCTGATGTTGACGCTGATGTTGATGATGATGATGATGATGCTGATGACAATGACATTAACTCTGATGTTGTTGATGATATTGGTTGAGTGATACATTCAAGTGATGGTACACAATTCAATGTATATAAACAACATATATTACCGGTTGTTAAAGAATGTTTAATATATGATGATTGTAATTTTATGTTAGATAATTGACATGAAAGATTATTGATATCATTCCTTATTTGATTAGGAATTGATTTTGAACATGGATTATAATCATAATGATAATGAATATGTGAACATTTATGTATATAATTATGCATATTATAAGGATGAAATAAACAACTCTCAGAATGATATTTCCGAGATAATAATATTTGTATATTATCATTAGGTTGCTTTGAATAGTCAATCATTTGTCCTGTATCTAATCTTTCTACTTTTAATGGATTATTCAATGGATCATAAGTAGATTGAGATTGACATGGACAATTTTGTTGATGTTCATGATGATACTGCTTTTGCTTCTGATGATGACGATGATGATAATGATGAGGACGAGGATTATAATGATGATGATGATGATGATGATTGTTATTATGATTATGATCATAATTTATAAAAGACATATGAATATGTTTCGATTCAATTCGTTGAGATTTCAATGATGAACGTGACCATATACTACGTAATCGTAAGATTAAATTTATACGAAATTTTTCAGTTTTACATGATTTTAACATTTTAGAATTTGACAAATTGATCATTGAGAATAATTTAAATCTACCAGTTGAATTAATTGCATTATCTTGTATTGAATTATTCATTGATTTATTAATTGAATCATTGGTTTTATTTGTTATGTAATTAGTTTGTACAATATAATCACATGGATGTTTTTTATAATGATGATATTGTTTATCTACAGGAATCATTTCTATAAAATATGAGTAAATCAATAATGTCTATATCAGAACAGGATTTGTGGAGAATGTGGTCATTTCAATAGTAGAGATCATGAGTCAGTTGATGCTAGACCATCATGGAAAATCTGAAAGCACTAGACAGTGCTTATCCACGATTTCACCTCGCGAGATTAGAATTCAGAACCCATCGGTCTCGCGTGCGAACGCTTAATCTCTAGACCACAATTGGATGCCGGTTCAGTGGTCTATAGGTTAAGCGTTCACGCACGAGACCGATAGGTTCTGAATTCGAATCTCGTAAGATGAGATCGTGGATGCTGAAGTTTGTGCTGATGATATCGTTCAGAAGAACGTTGAAAGCTCCACGACCAAACCATCTAGCTCAGAGAACAAAACCCCATCAAAAAGATCGTGGATCAGCATTTCTGAGAAATCTTACAGTAGGACGAAACAGGTGTCCAGTGCTCTCAGGTCTTCCATAGTGGTCGAGCTTCAATTGACTCATGATCTCAACTATTAAAATGAATATATATAATACCTTCTATTAATATACAGTAATTAATGTTTATTAATTGCATTATTTACTACAATTATTATGTAGAGTTATTGAAACGAATGATGCACAAGATTGAAAGCAAAATCTATACAAAAAAGAGTTGACATTTAAATGACCACTGAATAATGATCGATATCATGTTTTTCTAAAATAAAAAAAATATTTTTCACCTTCTATCGATCAATTACCTCAATGTAGTAAACATGGTGTCCAGTCATTCAAACTAACGGTAACATTTCAATTTAATCAATGTAATCTAGTCATTACTAAAGGATTAGACAAACATGATATTCGTTACTATTCATTCATCAATATTCTAACCATATGGAAGGTCATTTGTATCAAGTATAGTCTACTAAAAAAGTTTCAGTCTATGAAACTAGGTGATTCAGTATCGAATCCGATGAGGAATATTAGTTCCTTCAATATACAAACTTTATAGATCGCATTTATAATAACTGTCAACTATCATCACTGATCACAGACTGATTTCAGTAAGATAATCACTGACAACCACGGAAAACTAAACAGACGTTTTAGTCTAGTCTCAAAACTCTCTTGAAGTGACTAAGGTCCGAATTCATGAGTGTCGATCTCACAGTGACGACATTAGCTTTAGGCTATAGCACACTTCATTCATGATGTATTTGAGATAAATTTATTTCATAAAATAGTGTATTCTTAGTTTGTTTCTGTTTTCGGTTGTTCTTTTTCTATACCTCGTATAGCATTCATATTTTCATATTACCATAGATTTCCGATTACTGGATGATTAGTTTAGATAAAGATTCAATGTAAAATACTTGTAAAGTATTTTCTCGCACTTTTTTGTTTCGATTATCAATTGAAATGATTTGTCAGAATTATTCTTCATAATTTCTCAGTCTTATAAACAACTAAGTTCATTTGAATTATAGGAATTAGCAACACTATATTACGGTTCCGTCCTTGATCTGTACACCCAATAATATACAACAGAGAATGTGTCTAGATCTAGATTAAGGCCTTGACACAAGAGGCTAGTCGGTTTAAGCTTGAGGTCAGAAACTTGGTAATCCGGATCCAGACCAACGACCTTGATCAGAGAGACGAAAACTATCCTATCACCTGGTTGGTTAACAAGCGAGAGAAAGACATAGAAGGAGAAGACGAGTCATCTGGAACACCACTCGATTTATCCTGAAGCCCGACTCAGATTTGTGTAAAAGATTATTAACATGACCATGACGCACAAATAATTAGAAAAATAAAATCAAGTCCAAACTGGGAATTAGTGTAGAAAAATAGAGTATTAAATGTTACATTTAAATTAGAATAGTTTTGGACAGAAAAGAGTTTGGCAGTGAATCATACATCGAACGAAAACCTATGGTTTATAGAAAAACCTATGGAAAAGACTAAATGTCATTATTTACCAAGCTTTGAACTAAATGAAGCGACGTCAGTCAGTGGTCATGTGTGCTGTTAGATGTATGAGGGGAGTTATCACTTCCCGGTTGCCCACATCTAAGAAGGGTTCTTCTGGAGGTACTTGAAAACGAAATTGGATTACAGGTGGTCTTAGTGACCTAAGAGCGTGAACTCAGCGCCCAAGGGACGGCTGATCGAGGTCGGTCACACAAGACCTTTTTGTGAGCAGTTTTAATGTTAGCTCCGTACTTGTTGAGACCTCACCGCCAGAGACGATTATCTGTGTGCATTTTTAGGGTCGACCTCTTCTAACCCCACCCCTCCTCATGAGAAGGCAGCATCGCTGTCATGCTGGTTGTCTGAAAGAAACACCTTACTGCTGTCACACCTCTGTACAGTCAGCAGTACGACTTCGCCTTCGGATCCTGGGTTTGCTTCTCCTAGTCTTACCGTTCTTCAACCGACCTGTCTGGCATGGTAGTACCTTGAGGAGCGATTGTTCCAGCCAGTATAATCCGATTGGTTGAACACGATATTCAAGCCCGACCACCACGTCAAGGTAGCGACAACGGTTGGGGTGAAATAACGGCCAAAGAATAGCTTCCGCTGTTTGTCATGGCCTCTTTATTTATCTGTCCACGTCAATTACCAATTGTTAAACTGATTAGCAGGTCTTAAACCGATTGGGTTATATATCAGTATTGAAATTTTATCTACGTTTTAATAAAATTTATTCATTCTTTGGACTAAATAATGAAGTACTCTAAGTGTTACAACTATGTAGACAACTTGATTCTTTAAAATTAGATAATAAATGATTGATTAGAGGTAGAAATTTAAAATCATAGAAACGAACAATACGTTTGTCTTCCTGTTCATACTACTAATAAACCGTTAAATTACCTTTTAAGATATATGTTAGTTGACGATTTATTGGTCACTAAGTGGTGACCAGTTTCATGGACATCACATCCTTCTTTACTGCTGATATAATTCTATCGATCAAGCAGCAATATGACCACTAGTCTAAGTGACTCCATGTTGAGATGTAAGGTGTTGAATGTGAAGGCAATCGACAATAAATCCTGGACATGGGTTTCGTGTTATTTCACACTCATCAGTTCTACAAATTGAGCTTAGTTCTACTTAGAAGTAGTATTAAGGTTTACTGTTGTGACTTTAGGCCCGGTTAGTTATCATGTGATTTATCCGCCAATCAAAGTACGACTTATACAATCATAGCACTGTGCCAAACCAATGACGTTCGACAGGTATGAGCAGCCTAGAGTTCCTATTAATTCTTTGTCCGCCTAGCCCGTTCACTTGAGTCCAGAACGCCGATAACAGCTTCTACCATGCGAATCATCTATTTCAAAACATACTTGGTTTATATACCAGTCAAACAGACTACACTACACCATAAAATAAGAAATAATATTTATACAAGATCAAGCCAAAAAGTGGTTGTGATTGTGGGAGACTGTAAATAATAGACTGAACATAACTTAAGAACAGTAAATCGTATAATAATAGTCCATATATCAAAATGAAGCTTATAATAAGATGAATATAGTTATACACGATCTATTTACTGAATAATTATACAATAAGAATATAGAGATAATATTAGTCCACTAATAGTTCTCAGAAGTTACTCGTAATTTAATCTTCGCTAGAATATAACACTTACACTTTTAACCCTTTAAATACTTACATTTTAGCTCCTTCGTAGACGCACATATTATTTTGAATCTTAAGCGTCAAATGGAAACATGAAAGGAACTTTACTTCAAAGGTTAGGTTACATACATAAAACAAGTACTCGTCCTGGAATCCGGAGGTGTTTTTTTGTTGTTGTGAAGAATGACCGATTATTCCAAGTCAGTAAACGTAGAATGTGAATCTAACTTTCAATCTTAGTATTTTGAATATTTTCACTGTCAAAATTCATATGTTCAATACTGTGTTATAAACTAAATTTATTACTTAAAAGTTGTCTACGTTACCTATCAAATAGTTTTTAAGTAATTTTAACAAATTTTAGAATTATGATTGTTACGTGGCTACAAGTAGTTGGCAGAAAATTTTAAACTTACGCTTTGTGCTAGTTGGCACTCGTTAGTAACTTTCACTTACAATCTTGAAAGAATTTATGGTGCTGATGAGATTTGAACTTGGGTCTTGCAGCTTCCACAGTCTGAGATGTTATCTCTGAGCTGTTTCGGACAAAACTGACTTCCTGCAAGAATGAGATATTCAAGTTAACTGATCAGTGTGTAGTAACTAAGATCGTGTATATTTGGTTTTTTAGTAGTGTTTGAATATCTATAGATTAAGTTACAATGTATTCATTCGTCTAAGTGACTGAACATTTCGTACACTATGTTGAGATACTGGCTTCATTGATTATATAATCACTTATATGTTGTACCATTGTGTCTTTATTCGATTGTATGAAAACTAAACATTTGACGTCAATATATATCCTACTCGTAGACTGACACATTTTTATCTTAATCAATCACTATGGTTGATCTAAATGTAACTAAATTAGGTCAATTGATTAGGTTTGTTAGGGAAAGTAGTATATCACTGGACTAAAAATCTTGTGACTCCCATCATAAGCCTTTATCTAGTAGATATTGTAATAAATTTTATCGATTTTAAAAAATTTAATCATCCTTCCATAAAATATGACAGTTTCTAATTTGTATTGTAAGTCTTTTTATTTTCTTCCAAGTAGCTCCTCGCTGATTCAGTAATTTTCTTAACTTAATGATTTATTAAAGAGTATTTATCAAATATCAACCGATTGACTGATGATATCTTCGCCCCCAAATGCCCTGGTACGACCGAGGGTAGGAAGGTTCAGCTCTCCCTCTCCAAATGCTCTCACATGGTCACGTGCAAACAACCACTGCCAGAGAATTCCTACTCACTACCTTCTCGCGGCGTTACTGTTGTTTACGAAATTCAGAGGACGAAACGTCAATGTCCGGCGCTTTAACCGGGTTGGTGTACACGGAGGGTTCACTTAGGGAGTTA